ACTAAAGTTAGAGTGCGAAAACCAATGTGTCTTCGGACGACGCCGGACGACGCCAGACGACGACGACGACGACGACGCCAACGTCATACCAATATACGACCACAAAAATTTTTTTGCGGTCGTATAAAAACTATCATCTCATTGCAATTGGTTCTCAGAATATACAAAATTAAAAAAGGCAATACCAAAACAATGGTTAAATTTACTTAAGGATGAAAAATCAAAGCAAACAAAAGTTTACTTTAATAAAAAACTAGAAATAGTAAGTAAAAATCATAAAAAGTATGAGTTACAAAAAGTAACAACAAAAGATATATATAATATACTCATACAATCTAACATAGAAACCCCAATAGGTTTTGCAAAGTGGAAAAATATGTTGCAAGTTGATGATATTTATTTGAAGATAAAACACAATTTACTGTTTGTATTTAAATACTTAAAAGATAATAAATTGAAAATATTGAGGTGGAAATTGTTACATTGGATATTACCTTGTAAACAAATATTAGAAACTTGGAAAATAGTTGATACTTCTTTATGTAATATATGTAATGTTAATGAGAATTATGAACATTTCTTTATCACCTGCAAATATTTAAAAAAAATTTGGGAAGGTATTAGATTAATTCTTAATAAACTTAAAATTGGATATCATATCATAAGCTTAGAAAACCTAATACTTGGATATAAAATAACTGATGAAAAATATTATGAAATTAACTTTTTTATAACAATAGTATTATTTAGTATAAATAAAGCATACTATTTGCCAAATAGAAAAGAAAAAGAAGTAAATGTGTTCTCTATTTTTAAATATGAATTTCTGTCAAGAGTAAACCACTGCAAAGCAATGAAACAAGAAGTAAGCTTTATGCAACAGCATATTGCAAGTATTTTAGATAAAACTTGTATAACTGTTTAATACAACTACATGTTCGTGACACTAACGAGCAATAGTTAAAATCTATTATATAGTTATATACTCTCAAATTGTATAATTAAATCCCAACAACATGGTTTTGTTATGTATTACTTATATAGGACGATTTATTAATAAATTAAAATATACGGAAAAGCACTGTTATATTTCCGGAAAATTTTAAATTGTAATTTACATTTATGTACTTAGTTCATAGTATTAGTATGAATAGGTAACCCTAGACCTATTATTTATAGTACTTAGGGCATCTAAAGAGAAAGCTGTATCCTTAGAAGATTTATAAACAGCTTTAATGAAATAAAGTATAATATGTTTTAAAAAAAAAAAAATTACATAGCTCATTATTGCTTTTAACCAGTTTTTTTTTTATTTATTCAGATTAAAAAAAAAATTCTACAAAATTTAAAACTGCACTTTTAACTAGCAACATTAAATCAATTGTAGTTTTAAAAAGGCAAAAAGCTGTTCCTATTTTTTTGCCTCCGATTGCTTGTAGTTTACTATGGACTTATGTATAAATCACTCGTAGAAAGATGACGGGGCTTACAGAACCACAATTACTTACAGCACCACAATTACTGACAGCACAACAATCACTTACAGCACCACAATGACTTACAGCACCAAATGACTGATAGCAACACAATGACTAACAGCACCACCATTACTGACAGCACCACAATGACTTTCAGCTCCACAATTACTTACAGCACCACAATGACTTACAGCATCACAATGACTTACAGCACCACAACTACTGACAGCACCACAATGATTTACATTACCACAATTACTAACTGAACCACAATGACTTACAACACCACAATTACAGCAGAACCGGCACCACAATGACTACAGCACCACAATGACTTACAGCACCACAATGACTGACAGCACCACAATGACTGATAGCACCACAATTACTTACAGCTCCACAATGACAGACAGCATCACACTTACTTACAGCACTTCAATGACTTACACCAGCACTACTGACAGCACCACAATTACTGACAGCACCACAATGACTTATGGCACCACAATTACTGACAGCACCACAATGACTTACAGTACCACAACTACTGACATCACCACAATTATTTACTGCACCACAATGACTTACAACACCACAATTACTGACAGCATCACACTTACTTACAGCACCACAATTACTGACAGGACCACAATTACTTACTGTACCACAATTACTGACAGCACCACAATTACTGACAGCACCACAATGACCTACAGCCCCATAAATGACTGACAGCATCACCGTTACTGACAGGACCACAATGACTTACAGCACCACAATTACTTACAACACTGCAATTACTGACAGCACCACAATGACTTACAGCACCACAATTACTGATAGCACCACAATTACTTACAGCACCACAATGACTTACAGCACCACAATTACTGACAGCACCACACTCACTTACATCACCACAATTACTGACAGCATTACAATTAGTTACAGCTCCACAATGAATTACATCAATGAAATTACTAATAGCACCACAATGACTTACAACACCACAATTACTGACAGCATCACACTTACTTACAGCACCACAATTACCGACAGGACCACAATTACTTACTGTACCACAATGACTGACAGCACCACAATGACTTACAATGACTTACAGCACCACAATTACTTACTGCACCACAATGACTTTCAGCACCACAATGACTTACAGCACCACAATTCCTGATAGCACCACAATTACTGACTGCACCACAATGACTTACAGCACTACAATTACTGACAGCTCCACACTCAATTACATCACCACAATTACTGACAGCATTACAATTAATTACAGCACCACAAAGAATTACATCAATGAAATTACTAACAGCACCACAATTACTTACTGCACCACAATGACTTACAACACGACAATTACTGACATCATCAAACTTACTTACAGCACCACAATTACCAACATGACCACAATTACTTACTGTACCACAATGACTGACAGCACCACAATGACTGACAGCACCACAATGACTTACAGCACCACAATGACTGACAGCACCACAATTACTTACTGCACCACAATTACTGACAGCACCACACTCTTTACATCACCACAGTTACTGACAGCATTACAATTAATTACAGCACTACCATGACTTACATCAATGAAATTACTAACAGCACCACAATTACATGTACTTACACCATCACAATTAATTACAACACCACAATTAGTTACAGCACCACAAATTAATTGCAGCACAACAATTACTTACATCACTACAATTACTGACAGCACCACAATTACTTACAGCACCACAATGACTATGTAACAGTGGTTTGATTCTGCCAGTGTACTTTATCCGGAGGAAGAAAATCCCCAGTGATTTTTATACACCAACAAAAAATCACTAGGGTTTTCTATCCGGGTCCAGTGTAAAACATTCACCAGTCATTATAAGGTTCTAAAAAGGTTTTTTTGAAGGGGAAATATATATAAAATGTGGCTTAATAGTTTTTAGTGTATTTGAAAATTGCATAGTTGATTTATGTAAAAAGTTGAGAGTTTTCATCCAAGGAATGTTCACACTAGTGTTTTTGAACCAAGAATGATTACACTAGTGATTTTGTACCGGAATGACTGCACTAGTTATTTTATACCCGGCGGGATTAATTACACTAGTGCTTTAGATCCATTCATTGATGAAGAGATTAGTACTCATTTTGAACACACGATAACAAAATAATGCTTATTAACGAATAAGATTTAAATAATTTGGAAAGAGTTCCATATGGCACCCCCACGGAATAAACTGTAATACATTATTGTGTTCTTTTAGTATACAGGGGGTGCAATATGGAACTCTTACCAAGGATGCTTCTGTAATTGAAACTTTATCTAAGAACAAATCTGCTCTTTAAATTTGGTTTGTATCAAGTTCAATGTCCTGATCATTGATAAAGTATTTTGAGTTATAAAAATATCCTCCTCATCATCATCAATATTATTTACTAGATTGACTCAGATTAATTAAACTGTTTCCTTGAAAATCATTTTAATTTTAACCCATTTATTTATGTAAACAATAAACCGGTCTAATATAATAAAAAAAAATGATATCAAGATCGACGCTTTCACACTATTAACATCCAATATTCTCTAGTGAAAAACAGTTACCCGGAATAAATACACGGCGGAATGAAAGTACGCTTACAACTACAGCACCACAATGATTTACAGCACCACAATTACTGACATCACCACATTGACTTACAGCACCACAATTACTTACAGCACCACCTGTTCATAAGGTAACAGTCCACAGGAAGACATGTCACCTACCCTGAAGCATAATTCTGAGAAGGGGTAACCAGTCTTTGCTCTTCCTCTTAAAAACTGTGTGCTAAGCTGAGAAGCAGCAAATACAAATATTCAAGTCTTTGGTTAACACTAGCCAGTGATCAAACCCAAGCACTGGAGGAGGGGACTATGCTAGGTATTTCATGACACCCAGGGGCGGATCAAGCCATTTATAAAAGGGGGGGTTCCTAACCCAGGATAAAGGGGGGTTCCAACCCGCGGAACCCAATCCCCCCCACCCCCACCCCCCGCCCGGATCCGCCACTGACACCCCATTGAGGCAGTGTTTATCAACACAGAGAAGTACTACATAAAACAAAATAACTTTTTATATATACATCATAAATATATATATCATATTAAATATCAAGTCTTTTATCACTAATATAGACTAAATTTTAATGTCTGTCACACAAACATTGTATATGTTGTATCATCATAGACAGTTAAGTGTGATTAGTACAGGCTGACTATGCCGTATGGGCTTTGCTCATTATTGAAGGCAGTACGGTGACCTAAAGTTGTTAATTTCTGTGTCATTTGGTCTCTGTGGAGAGTTGTCTCATTGGCAATCATACCACATCTTCTTTTTTATTTGTACTCTGATGGTGACTGATTTTAAGTTTGTTCTTATGTTACCGGTATGCTATCTTATGTTGTTTATGGAACAATGCAGTTTTCATTTGACACATTGCAAAGATGGTAAATTTAATTTTTATTTCAACAATGTTATAAAATTCATCTTAATAAAATAATTGAATCATTGTCAATCATGTAAACAGAAGATCACAGTAAATTATTAAAAAACTTTAATATAGACATAAATACATCTAAAAATATACAGGTTAAAAAAATCCTGTATTATTGACTATTATGACAATGACTTTATTCAAAATTTCACAAAGCATCTTATTCCAGTTGTTTCTGTGCAAATTTGAACCAAAAAACAATGACTCTACCCAAACAGCTTTTAAAAATTATAGGAAAGATCCCTAATTATGCATATTATATGCGAATTATTTCACATCACCAGCATCAAACCTTTTATCTTCTATAGCAAGACATAAGTGTTCTACATTTTTGTTCATAAAATTTCTAAATAAACTGGAATAATAGACTAGATTTACAAACACCTTCAAGAAAATGATTCTGATTTTGTCCATAAATGAATGAGAAATTCTTTCCTTCTCAGCCAAATCCAACGAAAATGAAATAACCGATTCAGGTGTAAAAAATTTGAAATTGCGCAAGATATTTGATCCATCGGTGAAAGCTTTGGCCATGTGATAAAAATGTGGCGGGGGTTTGTGTAACGCTGGATACACTATGTCATTCTCTATCTCATGACAAATAGCAATGGCTTCTTCTAAAGAGTTTACACAGATATTATTACTGTCGTCCATCCCTAACAAGTACCCTATCCACCTCCAAAAATAAATGTAATCTTTTAAATCATTTTGACTAGCTTTTATACCAAACTGTTTAGGGTACATGACAATAGCACCCATAAATCCCGCCTGGACTAGTGACATGTCGTACTGGGAAACATACAATTTCTCTGTCTTCTTCATCATATCAATCCTTGTTCTGTCATGTAATCCACACACAATCTGGAGAGATTTTCTTGCTTTTGAATTTAAGTCCCAAACATTTCCACAATGCCATTGTACGACATGAGCCATTGTTTTAAGATATCTAATTAAAGATTTCCGAGGTGTATCTGATTTTCCAGTGAAGACCAATGGCTCTAACAAGTTAGTGACACACAAACCACACACCAGTGAACACATCATTGTGAAAAGGCATGCTGAAATGTTTCGTCTGAAAAACTGTTGACCTCTTTCAAATCGTTCAAGGTCAAGTTCTTCTGGAATAGCTTCAGAAAAGCAATTTTTCAAAGTTATCTGGTTATCTCCCTTGGCAAGTTTCTTTAAATAATATCCAGACATTTCTTTACTGTGAGTATCAATTTGGTTTAAATGTAGTTATCACTACAGCATCTATATAATAGACTGAATAAAATGCTTCGCTGGGCGCAGCTTGATACGACCGCAGAGGTCGAACCCTGAACAGTTGGGGCAAGTATGGACACAACATTCAAGCTTGATACAGCTCTGAATTTGGATTGTGATTAAATATTTGACACAGCATAGGTTTCTGACACAGAAAGAATGTGGTCTAAGAACTTGAATTTTTTTAATTTACCTATTATGGTCCAATGTCCAAAATCAAAATACATGGTTAGAATCAGCATATCAAAGAACCCCATACATTCAATTTTTGTTGAAATCAAACAAAGTTTAATTTTGGACCCCAACTTGGACCAACTTGAAAACTGGTCCCATAATCAAAAATCTAAACACATGTTTAGATTCAGCATATCAAAGTACCCGAAGAATTCAATTTTTGTTAAAATCAAACTAAGTTTAATTTTGGACCCTTTGGACCTTAATGTAGACAAATTTAAAAAACGGGACCCTAAATTAAAAATCTAAAAACACAGTTAGATTTGGCATATCAAAGAACCCCAATAATTCAATTTTTGATGAAATCAAACAAAGTTTAATTTTGGACCCTTTTGACCTCAATATGAACCAATTTGATAGCGGGCCCACAAATAAAAAATCTAAATACATGGTAAGATTCAGCATATCAAAGAACCCCATATATTCAATTTTTGTTGAAATCAAACAAAGTTTAATTTTGGACCCCAATTTGGACCATCTTGAAAACTGGGCCAAAAATCTAAAATCTCAATACATGTTTAGATTCAGCATATCAAAGAACCCCATATATTCAATTTTTGTTGAAATCAAACAAAGTTTAATTTTGGACCCCAACTTGGACCAATTTGAAAACTGGTCCCATAATCAAAAATCTAAACACATGTTTAGATTCAGCATATCAAAGAACCCCAAAATTTCAATTTTTGTTAAAATCAAACTAAGTTTAATTTTGGACCCTTTGGACCTTAATGTAGACCAATTTAAAAAACAGGACCCAAAATTAAAAATCTAAATACACGGTTAGATTTGGCATATCAAAGAACCCCAATAATTCAATTTTTGATGAAATCAAACAAAGTTTAATTTTGGACCCTTTTGACCTCAATATGAACCAATTTGATAGCGGGCCCACAAATAAAAAATCTAAATACATGGTAAGATTCAGCATATCAAAGAACCCCATATATTCAATTTTTGTTGAAATCAAACAAAGTTTAATTTTGGACCCCAATTTGGACCAACTTGAAAACTGGGCCAAAAATCTAAAATCTAAATACATGTTTAGATTCAGCATATCAAAGAACCCCATATATTCAATTTTTGTTGAAATCAAACAAAGTTTAATTTTGGACCCCAACTTGGACCAACTTGAAAACTGGGCCCATAATCAATAAAATGCTTCGCTGGGGCGCAGCTTGATACGACCGCAGAGGTCGAATCCTGAACAGTTGGGGCAAGTATGGACACAACATTCAAGCTTGATACAGCTCTGAATTTGGATTGTTATTAAATATTTGACACAGCATAGGTTTCTGACACAGAAAGAATGTGGTCTAAGAACTTGAATTTTTTTTAATTTACCTATTATGGTCCAATGTCCAAAATCAAAATACATGGTTAGATTCAGCATATCAGAGAACCCCATATATTAAATTTTTGTTAAAATCAAACAAAGTTTAATTTTGGACCCCAACTTGGACAAACTTAAAAACTGGGCCCATAATCAAAAATCTAAACACATGTTTAGATTCAGCATATCAAAGAACCCTAAGAATTCAATTTTTGCTAAAATCAAACTAAGTTTAATTTTGGACCCTTTGGACCTTAATGTAGACCAATTAAAAAACGGGACTTAAAATTAAAAATTCGTAAGGGTTCCGCGGAACCCAGTGTCTCGCCTACTTTTGCTGTTAATCGCAGGCTCAACAAAAATGAGGAAAAAAATTAATAAAAATATTCCTCTCTATACTATCTTTTGATTGTAAGTAGCTTCTGTCCAAGTTTGGTAAAAATCCAGGATAGTTTATGAATCTAATAAATGTTTTAAAAACTTAAAGTGCAGACTGTATGTAATGTTAACTGGAAGAAAAACTAAGTCCATTTATAAGTAAAATACGGAAAAAATGGATTTTTTTTTACTTTTTTACAAAATTTACTTCTGGATACTATCTTTTGATCATAAACAAGCTTCTTTCCAAGTTTGGTAGAAATCCAGGATAGTTTAAGAAAGTTATTAAAATTTCAAAAACTTTAACCACGAGTGAATGTAATGTTTCATGGCAGAAAAACTAAGTCCATTTATAAGTAAAATACGGAAAAAATGGAATTTTTTTTTTACAAAATTTACTTCTGGATACTGTCTTTTGATCATAAACAAGCTTCTTTCCAAGTTTGGTAGAAATCCAGGATAGTTTAAGAAAGTTATTAAAATTTCAAAAACTTTAACCACAGAGTGAATGTAATGTTTCTTGGCAGAAAAACTAAGTCCATTTATAAGTAAAATACGGAAAAAATGGAATTTTTTTTTTACAAAATTTACTTCTGGATACTATCTTTTGATCATAAACAAGCTTCTTTCCAAGTTTGGTAGAAATCCAGGATAGTTTAAGAAAGTTATTAAAATTTCAAAAACTTTAACCACAGAGTGAATGTAATGTTTCTTGGCAGAAAAACTAAGTCCATTTATAAGTAAAATACGGAAAAAATGGAATTTTTTTTTTACAAAATTTACTTTTGAATATTATCTTATGATCATAAACAAGCTTCTGTCCAAGTTTGGTAGAAATCCAGGATAGTGTAAGAAAGTCATTAAAATTTCAAAAACTTTAACCACAGAGTGAATATTTGTGGACGCCGCCGACGACAATGACAACGACGACGACGACGCCGACGGAATGTAGGATCACTATGTCTCGCTTTTTCAACAAAAGTCGAAGGCTCGACAAAAATCTAAATACACGGTTAGATTTGGAATATCAAAGAACCCCAATAATTCAATTTTTGATGAAATCAAACAAAGTTTAATTTTGGACCCTTTTGACCTCAATATGAACCAATTTGATAGCGGGGCCCACAAATAAAAAATCTAAATTCATGGTTAGATTCAGCATATCAAAGAACCCCATATATTCAATTTTTGTTGAAATCAAAAAAAGTTTAATTTTGGACCCCAACTTGGACCAACTTGAAAACTGGGCCCATAATCAAAAATCTAAACACATGTTTAGATTCACCATATCAAAGAACCCCAAGAATTCAATTTTTGTTAAAATCAAACTAAGTTTAACTTTGGACCCTTTGGACCTCAATGAAAACCAATTTTAAAAACGGGACCCAAATTAAAAATCTAAAAACACGGTTAGATTTGGCATAGTAAAGAACCCCAATAATTCAATTTCTGATGAAATCAAACAAAGTTTAATTTTGGACCCTTTTGACCTCAATATGAACCAATTTGATAGCAGGGCCTACAAATAAAAAATCTAAATACATGGTAAGATTCAGCATATCAATGAACCTGATATATTCAATTTTTGTTGAAATCAAACAAAGTTTAATTTTGGACCCCAATTTGGACCAACTTGAAAACTGGGCCCATAATCAAAAATCTAAATACATGTTTAGATTCAGCATATCAAAGAACCCCATATATTCAATTTTTGTTGAAATCAAACAAAGTTTAAATACTGGACCCTATCTTGGACCAACTTGAAAACTGGGCCCATAATCAAAAATCTAAACAGATGTTTAGATTCAGCATATCAAAGAACCCCAAGAATTCAATTTTTGCTAAAATCAAACTAAGTTTAATTTTGGACCCTTTGGACCTTAATGTAGACCAATTTAAAAAACAGGACCCAAAATTAAATATCTAAATACACGGTTAGATTTGGAATATCAAAGAACCCCAATAATTCAATTTCAGATGAAATCAAACAAAGTTTAATTTTGGACCCTTTTGACCTCAATATGAACCAATTTGATAACGGGGTCCACAAATAAAAAATCTAAATACATGGTTAGATTCAGCATATCAAAGAACCCCAAATATTAAATTTTTGTTGAAATCAAACAAAGTTTAATTTTGGACCCCAATTTGGACCAACTTGAAAACTGGGCCAAAAATCAAAAATCTAAATACATGTTTAGATTCAGCATATCAAAGAACCTCATATATTCAATTTTTGCTAAAATCAAACAAAGTTTAATTTTGGACCCTTTGGACCTTCATATGGATTTTTTTGTAAAAAAAAAAGATGCAACATTTGCAGATATTTTTACTGGTCTGCCTTTATAAATATGCATTTCTTTAAACATAATTTAAAAGCAGTGTAAGGGAAGTAACCAAAACGTTGTATTTGGATTACCTCCCTTACACTGTTTTAAATTATCTTTATTGTTCATTAACCATTACTTTATACATAATTTAAAAGCAGTGTAAGGGAGATAATTTCAATGATGTATTTGATTTATCTCCCTTACACTGCTTTAAATTATGTTTTGTACTAAAGTATTTGTCCATTAACCAGGACAACCTTGTTTTTCCCCCTTTTTTGCCCCTAATTCCTAAACGGTTCGAGCCATAACCCCCCAAAGCAAATCCTAACCATCCCTTTGTGGTATGGAAACTTGTAGTATAATTTCAGAGAGATCCATACACCGTTCCACAGTTATTGTCTGGAAACTAGAAAATGCTTATTTTTGGCCCCTTTTTGGCCCCTAATTCCTTAACTGTTGGTACCATAACCCCCAAAATCAATCCCAACCTTTCTTTTGTGGTATTTAACCTTATGGTCAAATTTCAAAAAGATCCATTCACTTAAACTAAAGTTAGAGTGCGAAAACCAATGTGTATTCGGACGACGACGCCGGACGACGACGACGACGCCGGACGACGACGACGACGCCGGACGACGACGACGACGACGACGACGCCAACGTCATACCAATATACGACCACAAAATTTTTTTGCGGTCGTATAAAAATCTAAACACATGTTTAGATTCAGCATATCAAAGAACCCTAAGAATTCAATTTTTGTTAAAATCAAACTAAGTTTAATTTTGGACCCTTTGGACCTTAATGTAGACAAATTTAAAAAAGGGACCCAAAATTAAAAATCTAAATACACGGTTAGATTCGGCATATCAAAGAACCCCAATAATTCAATTTTTGATGAAATCAAACAAAGTTTAATTTTGGACCCTTTGGACCTCAATGTGGACCAATTTAAAAACGGGGCCCAAAATCTAAAAAATTAATACACGGTTAGATTCAGCATATTAAAGAACCCCAAGAATTCAAGAATAAAACCCCATTAAAATTGATCAAGAAATAAGCAATTTATACGAAGTATCTTCTTTTGCACAATACTGTGCAATTGAATATTTCTTGCTATTGCGCAATACTGTACAATTGACAATTTCTTGCTATTGCGCAATATTGTGCTATTGGATATTTCTTGCTATTGCGCAATACTGTTAAATTGAAGATTTCTTGCTATTGCGCAATACTGTGCAATTGAAGATTTCTTGCTATTGTGCAATACTGTGCAATTGAAAATTTCTTGCTATTGCACAATACTTATTATATAATAATTTACACATCCTGTTTGGTGTGTATCTCCTACCATATCATTATTATTTGCTTTTAAATATAAATCAGAAATAACCAACTTAAAATGGAAAATTTTAAAAGAAAAAAAAAAGGAAAAAAAGAAAAAAAAAAAAAAAAAAATCCCCCCCCCCCCAAATTTTTTGAACCCCCTTATGATTCATCACCCCCAAACTCAATCCCAGCCTTCCCTTTGTGGTATGGTACCTTGCAGTACAATTTCAGAGAGATCCATACACTTGAACACAAGTTATTGTCTGGAAACTAGAAAAATGCTTATTTTTGGCCCCTTTTTGGCCCCCAATTCCTAAACGTTTCGGGCAATTACCCCCAAACTCAATTCCAGCTTTCCCTTTGTGATATGTAACCTTGTAGTACAATTTCAGAAATATCCAAACACTTACACACAAGTTATTGTCATGAAACTAGAAAAATGCTTGTTTTTTGCCCCTTTTTTGGCCCCTAATTCCTAAAATTTTGAGGCAATTACCCCCAAAATCAATTACAGCCTTCCCTTTGTGATATGGAACCTTGTGGTACAATGTCAGAGAGATCCATACACTTACACACAAGTTATTGTCTGAAAGTTACAAAAATGCTTATTTTTGGCCCCTTTTTGGCCCCTAATTCCTTAACTGTTGGTACCATAACCCCCAAAATCAATCCCAACCTTCCTTTTGTGGTATTGAACCTTATGGTGAAATTTCATGGAGATCCATTCACTTAAACTAAAGTTAGAGTGCGAAAACCAATGTGTCTTCGGACGACGCCGGACGACGACGACGACGACGACGACAACGACGAAGACGACGACGACGACGACGCCAACGTCATACCAATATACGACCAAAAAATTTTTAATTTTTGCGGTCGTATAAAAATAGGACAAAAATTTATTAGGACGAAAATTGGTAGTTCTGGTTACAAACCTAACAAAAAAAGTCTAGTTTTTACATTTTTAAAAACTTGTCAGTTTTGTCAAAAAAGAAGAAAAGATACAGAGGCAATAAATAGTCATACGCTTGTGAAGGAGAGACACATATTTTTTATTGCCAAAAGAAAATATGGAATGTCATTATATAAATAACACTGAGGCGAGGCCAAGGTTGACAATGTCTTTTCGAGGGGTAACAATCTGCTCTATCACCCTCTCAGATATGTGTTATTTAATTTATTATACTGAATGTTCTGTTATTACTGTCTATCAAATTTCAAATTCAAAGTAATAAACTATGTCGTCTTGAACATAACAATCATCCGTATTTATTAAAGCGCACATTTGAGCAAGCGTCTCCGTGAAGGGTAATAGAGTATTTGCCATGGGATAGAGTAAATTGTCTCCCTCGTATTAACCAATCAAAATCTGGCATTTTGACATGAAGTATAATAACACAATCTATGTCCTGTAAACTTATTTTGGCTAATATTATATTTAATGTTTAGCCCTATCTAAATGATTTCTCGCATTTTTATTTTGACATTTTCTAATTTTCCTGATGTATTTATATAAGGGAAGATCAAAGTTAAACGTAGTTGTGACAAGTTACACTCACATTTTTTTTCCACTTAGGAAATTGCGAAAATGTGAAAATAAAATGGTTATGAAAATAAGTAAAAAAAATGTAGGTTTACACTGTTATTATGATTAATTAGGTTTGATTATTTCTGTTGTTAATACTTTAAAAGATTATCATTGTTTTGATTGTTTTTTTACATTTGGAGCTAAAATAAAAAAAAAAAACTATGTAGTAAGCCTGGGTTGGTGTTGTGAAGAGTCATAATGGTATGATGACTTTTAAGGGGGAAAAGTGTGGCAGGATTACTTCCCTTGCATAGCAGATACTAAGCCAGCCCTAAGCTAGGGAAGTACTTCTTTAGCTCAGTGGGTTAGAGAGTGCTGACTTCGAACACAAAGGTAAATTGTTGAAGTCCTAGAGGCCTAGGTGACAATGTGATTTTTAAGTGAGAGTCATGCTCTCCAGTTACACATATCTAAATTTGTACTTAGACAATTTATATATGTAATCTTAAAAGAGCCTAATTTTCAACATAAACTCATATACATGTATATATATATATATATATATATATATGAACCATCTGAGCTGTATTTATAATGGGTTAGTTCACAGTCCCCAGGAAGTCTTAACCCCTAGGTCCCTTCCAAGGATCTAGAAATTTTTTCATACAATTTCGGTTATTTTGAGATGACTTAAAAGTTAGGGCCCTTTTTTCAAACTGATGAAATTATTCACACTAGATTCATGGCATCAACGAACTTGAATCAGAATTGACTGTTTCATCGCATTTACTTCAAGAATTTTCTTACCGTTTTTCTTTAACGTTCAAGAACAATTTATGGAATGCAACAGTTTAAATTGAAATAATTTAATGACTCAAAATAGTAAATTTCTCAGGAATCGCCAAGGCTTCTTTTGATTTTGAAGACTAAATAAAAACTGGAAGTTTAAAGCTAATAGTAAAGTATGAGTGATTACAGATTCATTTCCGGGATTCGATCTGTTTATCAAATTGACAGGAAATCACAGAATTTTTAACTGCATTACCTTTAGAAGTGTTTGAATATAACCATGATAACAGATAATAGTTGCATTTGTTTCGTTTAGCATAAAATCATTTTACATTTTAAGATTAAGTGTATATTCAATTTCAAGCATGTTATTCCATAGTGAACAAGCATTCTGAGAGTATTGCATGGCAAAACATAGTCCCCTACCGATTAAAAATTCATTGTACTGGAACAATATGCTAACTTGATCTATAACTTGTTATGGTGTAAACTATATAACAAATATCAAGTCAATATCTTAAAGCATGACGAAAAAAGTGTGGAAAACTTATTATTTAAGTGAATTTTCTAAGTCCAAGGACCATACCTCTGCACAAAATCATCAGAACGGAAATTCAAACTTGATCTGTAACTTGTCATGATAAAACTTATACCAATTATCAAATCAATATCTTCAAGCATGACGAAAAAAAAATGTGAGGAAAACTGATTATTTGAGTGAATTTTCTAAGTCCAAGGACCATACCTCTGCACAAAATCATCAGAACGGAAATTCATACTTGATCTGTAACTTGTCATGATAAAACTATTTACCAATTATCAAATCAATATCTTCAAGCATGACGAAAAAAAAATGTGAGGAAAACTGATTATTTGAGTGAATTTTCTAAGTCCAAGGACCATACCTCTGCACAAAATCATCAGAACGGAAATTCATACTTGATCTATAACTTGTCATGATAAAAATATATACCAATTATCAAATCAATATCTTCAAGCATGACGAAAAAAAAATGTGAGGAAAACTGATTATTTGAGTGAATTTTCTAAGTCCAAGGACCATACCTCTGCACAAAATCATCAGAACGGAAATTCAAACTTGATCTGTAACTTGTCATGATAAAAATATATACCCATTATCAAATCAATATCTTCAAGCATGACGAAAAAAAGTGTGGAAAACTGATTCGCCGGCCTGACGGATGGACAGACAGACAGACAGACAGATAGACAGACGGAGTGCAAACCTAGAGTCCCCTTCGACTTCGTCAGTAGGGGACTAATAAAGCACACGTTTGACCTGGGACTATTATAGTTTTGACTCGTGAAAAATTACTTTTTTCTACTTAATTAAATCAAGTTTTAATTTTTAAATCAGAATTGATGATTGTCTTTGCTGAAAAGTAATTAAATAATGAAGGAAGTTGTCATGAAATTTAGATTTTTTCATATTACATTAAAGTTCTGAGCTTGTGATCACTGTCAGATGTGAATTAAAAACAGGTAAAAAGTGATTAGGTATCTATCATTAGCCAATATTTCCCAGATGCATTAATATGGCTATTAGGAGGGCCCTCAGGATTAGCATACTCTACTGGAGTGGCAGTTTTATTACTGGAAAAGGATTACAAAACAAAAACATGTGCAAAATAGTGATTAAGAAACCCGATCTCAATGAAATGACGAAATTATTTCTGTAAAAAAAAATATGTCCTAATTCCCAATCTGCCGTTTAGGACAAATACAATGTAGCTTTCAGTTTATGTCATGACTGGCAAATATGACCGTTTCCGGACCTTTGTTCCCTTCTCAACACATTAATCTAACTCTGAGCCAACCAGTGGAGCAGCAGCACACCCAATTTTTATATGTTTGGATCAAACCCATTACCTCCCACATGTGAGTCCACCGGCACAGAGGCTGTCTATGTATTGATGTACAATTAATATAAAGATAAGTAAAACATTTTTTAAGTTACAAACAAACAGACACTCACTCAGAGCCCTTGTGGGCACATTATTGATACATAAGATTGAATGATATAAAAAAATTCGTAAGGGTTCCGCAGAACCCAGTGTCTCGCCTACTTTTTCTGTTAATCGCAGGCTCAACAAAAATGAGGAAGTAAATCAATAAAAATATTCCTCTTGATTCTATCTTTTGATTGTAAGAAGTTTGGTAAAAATCCAGGATAGTTTATGAATCTAATAAATGTTTAAAAACTTTAACTGCAGACTGAATGTAATGTTAACTGGAAGAAAACAAAATTTTCTTCTAGATACTAGCATTTGATCATGAACAAGCTTCTGTTTGGTACAAATCCAACTTTAACCACAGAGTGAATATGTTGTTTCCTGGCAGAAAATCTAAGTCCATTTAAAAGTAAAATACGGAAAAAATGGATTTATTTTTTTACAAAATTTCCCTCTTGATACTAGCTTTTGATCATAAACAAGCTTCTGTCCAAGTTTGGTACAAATCCAAAATAGTATAAGAAAGTTATTAAAATTTTAAAAACTTTAACCACAGAGTGAAAGTGTTGTTTAATTCCTGGCAGAAAATCTAAGTCCATTTAAAAGTAAAATAAGGAAAAAATGGATTTATTTTTTTACAAAATTTACTTCTAGATACTATCTTATGATCATAAACAAGCTTCTGTCCAAGTTTGGTACAAACCCAGGATAGTTTAAGAAAGTTATTAAAATTTCAAAAACTTTAACCACAGAGTGAATGTAATATTTCCCGGCAGAAAAACTAAGTCCATTTATAAGTAAAATACGGAAAAAATGGAATTTTATTTTTACAAAATTTACTTCTGGATACTATCTTATGATCATAAACAAGCTTCTGTCCAAGTTTGGTAGAAATACAGGATAGTTTAAGAAAGTTATTAAAATTTCAAAAATTTTAACCACAGAGTGAATATTTGTGGACGACGCCGCCGATGACGCCGACGGAATGTAGGATCGCTATGTCTCGCTTTTTCGACTAAAGTCGAAGGCTCGACAAAAAGCATATGATTAGTATCATGAAATTGAGAATGGAAATGGGGAATGTGTCAAAAAGACAACAACCCGACGGCCACCAATGGGTCTTCAATGCAGCGAGAAACTCCCGCCCCCGGAGGCGTCCTTCAGCTGGCCCCTAAACAAATATGTTAACTAGTTCAGTGATAATGGACGTCATACTAAACTCCAAATTATACACAAGTATAGATTATCTGATTTTCTGCACATGTGTATCCTTAAATATCAGCTGCAATCCATAATGTGAAATTTTTTGGCAAGGGAAAAAAGCTTCACATTCTGTTGAGCAGTGGATATTTTAGTCTCTATATATGAATCCCCATAAAATATTTA